TAATGAGAATGGGGTGAGAGACAGTATCAAAAGCCTTCCTGAAGTCTAGGAAAACTATATCCACTGCCACCCCTGCATCCAATGATTTAGTGACCTGGTCGTAAAAGGCCACCAGGTTGGTCTGACAGTGTCTCATGTAGATGCACCCAACAGGTGTTTAATTATCAAGCCTGGTTTTTACTTGCAGAAATATGTTCCAACTTGATCAGAGAGATATCAGAGAGAAGTGTGAGTTGTTGTCCCATTGCCAGGGCGTTGATTATTCACCAAGAGCATGCCAAACTGAGCCCAGGCAGCTGATCATGCTGGAGAGAGATGGTGGTCTCTTGAATTCAGATCACAAGAGGTTAGAAGAGACGGTTGTTTGGGCAGTGCAAAATATTTGCTGTCGGTGCTTCCTGGGCATTGTGTTCAGTCTCTCTCATCCTTCACTATCCATTTTGATTAATGAGCTTTATTCTGGAGGCCTTTTAACAGCTTTTTAGCAGGGAGGTTCCCCTGTCTAATGCCTCACAGTTTTGAAATTTGGATTCAGGAGGAAAATAATTTGCTACACTGGATAGTTCACAGCTGGTGTGATAGGCCCCAACCACCTCAACGTGGCAGCCTGAGTGTGTTGTTGTTATTAGCCCAGCAATCTTTTATTTCCCTATGGGAATTACCTGCTTCTTTGGGGAGGTGGGGATGCAGTGTGGCCTAATGACTAGAGCACTGGACCAGGACTCTGAATACCTGGGTCCTAGTTTGTGTTCTGCCCGTGGCCTGCTGGCCTCTCTGCCTTTATCCCCATTATGCAGATGAGGAAACAATGGTATGGACCTCCTTTTAAGAGCTTTGTGGCAGTATTTCTGGATGTGTACATAATGACGCATCTGTTTTACTAAGGAAGTCTTTAAATCCTGTTTCCCATAGAGCCAGGAATCTTTCTTATCTTCTTTTTTTTCTTGGGATTGAGGAAAAAGAGGCTCCCTCACTTGCTTTCTTCATTAGCACCTTGGAACAAGTTTCTTTGACCTATTTGCCTGTTCCCTGCCAGGCGGGAAACATCCAAAGCAGCAGCTGAAGTGGCCTGCCCAGTGACAGGTCCCTGTTAACATGTCTCCAGGTTCAGTCATGTTTTGGCTCAGTGCTGCAGATGACAGGATGATGGCAGGGTTCTGGTTGGAAATGGCTTTGTGCGACGTGTATCATAAAATCTGGCAGCATGAAGTCAGGGTTGTGTGAAAGAGGTGGGCGGGTGAAGGAAATGACAACCTAAAGGAAAGCCAGCTGACACAACCTGTGAATCAAGGATGGGCTCACAGCCAAGGTGGGAAAGGTGTTAAATTGCCATCAGAGTTTCCTTTGGCCTCTAAACAGCACCTCTCCTGGCACTACACACCACCTGCTTGAGTTTTTGCGCAGTCCTGTGGCAGTGGTAAAAGGTGAATCCAGCCTTGCATAAGGTATTTGTAATTTTGTGTCTGGCTGACCCACAGTCTGTCTGTCTTCTCCCCAACCCTGGGGCATGCAGGTTCCCAATTACCACCCTGGGAGATGGGGACTGGCACCGAGTTGCTCTCAGCATCACTTTGGAAAGACTGGAGCTGCGTGTGGACTGTCAACTGGTTGAGAGTGTGAGCTGGTCCAATTACTTTGGGATGGGAGTCACCACTGAAGGGCTGGTCATCATTGGAGGCCTGATTGAACCCTTTGAGATTCCTTTTGAGGTGAGGGCCTGCTCCTTTTGCACACAGACTCTCCTTTTCCAGCTGTAAAGCAGTTATCTGCAGGGGGCTGGGTTTGTGGGGGGGCTTCTGTTCAGGCACTGCTTTACTGGGCTGCAGTTGCATTTGCTCCTGAAGATCCTTATCTCTTGCTTTGCTGATAAAAGCCATTTATTTTCAGTGCTTAGTGGACCTGCTGTGTAAAGGCTTTGACAAGCACTGAATTGTTTGCCCAGAGAAATACAACACTGGCCGTACGCCAGTCCGTAGAGAGAGACCCTTGGCAACCCACACTTTAACCCGCTCCTCCCTCTGTGTTAGTTACACACCTTTGCCCACACTTTGCAGGGAGAGAGGAGGCTGCTTATGTCCTCTCTGTTATGTGGCTTTTCACAGGAGGCTTATGCAGAAATTCATGAGAGCTATTCAGTACTGGAAGAATGAAGTAGTGGCGTGCGAGGACTGTTCTTTAAAGCAGCTGGAGTCAGAGCACTGGGGAGTTCTCGTTTCTAGCCAGGCCTGTGTACTCATGACTTCTGAAATTTTAAGAGGAGAAAAGAAAAAAAAATACCATCACACCACTTGGCACTCTTACATAGCAGCCTTCCTCTGAGGGGATCTTCTCTTTATCATTGTCCTGCTCACCCTCCCAGGGACTTACTGTCTCCTGCTTTGCAAGTGGATAAGCTGAAGCCATGAAGTGGGAATGAATGGCCCAAGGTTGACATCATACTGTGACGGGAGCTGGGGTCAAGCCACACTCCTTCCCACTACTACGTCTTGTTGCCTGCAATTAAAATCATCTGTGCTGCATGGATGGTACTTGTGCTGTGCAGTTAACTTTGTTATTTGCATATCCATGGGGTCTATGGAGGATTCAGTGAAAGATCTGGGCCCCTTTATAATTAAGCATTATACCCACATGCATCAAAGTTACAGTCCCTTCTCCAAAGAACTTGCAGCCTAAAGATGTACAGAGATTAAAAATAGGACCTCTGTAAAAGACCTGCCTAAATCTTACTGATTCAAAGTTTATCTTGAGGCATTTGCATTGAAAAATCCCAGTAACTAACAAGGGATATCAGACTGCAGAAGCAATCAGTGCCAACATGCAGCACTGAGCTCCCATCATTTTGCATCAGGGGCCCCTTCCCTGTTTTTTCAAGAGCACATACAGCTGTAAGTTCCCCTCTTTTCCAGTTTAGGTTTGCAGCCAAACCTATGGTCTTGTAGTAAGACAGTTTCCCACTGGAGAGATTGGCTGGCAGCTTCCACATGCTCTCCTTCGCTTTTTCCACTGTTTTACCACAAAGGAGTGAGCCTAGGTAGGGCAGGCTCACTCAGATGATTGCTCTGGACAGCTGTGTCATGTGGAACAATATGAATTGATAGGCATGGCTTGATGGCAAGTTACTACACTAATTACCCTGGATGTACTATACAGACAGCTGAGGAAGAATAGGAGGAGTATCAGGAAGAGGAACCAGCTCTGACTTTAACAAATTCATAACTTGAGTGTCATGAGCCTTCTGGCTGCCCTCGGCAAGCAGGAAGCAACCCACTCCCTGCCTCTTGTTTGCTTTGTCTCTCCCATGTAACAGTCAATGTACCGGGTCCATATAGCCTCATTTCAACCTGTCCCACTTGCTTTTCATTCAGTTCTGATGTGGAGCAGGCATCAGGGTTTGTATGTAAGCTACAGCCTGTTTTGTTTTCTTGCCTTTCCAGGGTGCTCTGCAGGAGCTGACCTTTATGATGGGAGACCCAGGGGCTGCCCATGAACAGTGTCACAGCTACAATGCAAGCTGTACCAGCGCTTTTGGCATGGCACCTTTCCACAACTGGACCCACTTCTTGTGGGAGCTTTCCACAGAGGTACATCTGAGGGCTGGCAAAGAAAGTTCCTGAGTTTTTGGCATTGTCCTCAAAATTATGGGATCCAGTTCATCCTAGGGGTAGCACCACTTAGGTCAATGGAGCGGCCCCTTTGATTAATTCGGCCCAGAAAGGTTCGAGTGTATGGTGTCCTAGTGTTGCCTATTCTGTGGTTTGATATCAGTGCGGTAGTGGTCTTTTCTCTCCCTGTGTGAACATGACAGTGCATCAGATTACCTGGTGCTACTGAACCTGTGCCCACATAGCACTGGCAGGCAGCAAGAACTTCATTTATGGCAGATGACTTTTGATGTGGGGACAGCTGAGAATTAAGCATTAGCTTTGCAGTATTTGCTCTCTTGTCACTGTGCAGCGTATCCATGGCAAAAGCAGCTAACAGCTATGCTGCTTTGTCTGTTCAGATGCCTGAACAAAACTGGCTTGCTTGTAGTACCGTAGAAGGGGACGGGATAGCACTGCAGGGGGTGGCGGGGGGCATGGGGAGAAGCTGAATAAGACCTAGCTTGGAACAGGTGTGGGGGCATGGGCATGGAAAAAGAAGTCCTATATTTTGCCTACTGGGGTTGAGGGGCTTTACATGATCCCAAATCCTGGTGGCTCTCTCACTGAGCACATCCATTCTGAACAGCCATGCACAATTCATGGAGAATCCAGTAGCCTTTGTGGGAGACATTGTCTTGGCCTCAGTCCCTGCTGATGTCACAGTGATCTAGGAGGTTTTATTCAGTGTAAGCTGTCAGTCAGCTACCCCTTTCTTGTTGGGATTTTTAAATGCTGAAGCCCTAATGGCAGACAGGTTTCATGCAAACGTTGAATGGGAGGGAGGAGGAAATATGGCTTAGAGGGAGGGAATTGAACTTTAAGCAGTCTGTGCATGCCCACATGTATAAAATGGAAGAGGGTAGTATGGAGCAGTGCTCCAGCTGAATCAACAAACTCGGCCAAGAAGAGCACGGGATGAATACAAAGTGTTGCCCTCAGGAATCCCACTCCGATTCACGCCCGTGAGGTCTCTGCAGTGAACTCCCCAACGTGTCCTCCTCACCGTGCTTTACTCTTTGAAGGTCCCCTAAAAGTGGCAGCTTGGTGGATCTGGCTTTTACCGGGGTTATTTAATTCTCTGTCGAGAGTTCCTGCTTTCCCTTGGTCCCTCTGGAACCTGATCCAAAGATGCCTGCCTCGGTCCTGCTACAATCCCTGCTGAGCTGAGCTGCTCAGGTTGAGCTCAGAAGCCAAATGCATAGCAGGGGAAAGTCTTGATCTTCATTATCGAGGTGCAGGAGGTTAATCTATGCTGTCTGATGATACCCCTCGGGTTTTAAATGATGGAGAATAAGAAATCCTAATAGACCTGCTTGTTCTGAGTAGAATAATAGAGTCTGTACTCGATGAAGGGACCAACTGACTACTTCTCATGTAGGGCTAATAAGCACCTCCATTCTAGGCCAGGCGCTGAGGTCTCCTACGCATGATTCTTAATGCATAAGTACTGTAATGCTTAGCAGCAGGAATGAGAGAGGGAAGCTGAAATTTCAGCGATCCTTGATATAGGTTGTAGAGGCAATTGTACCTTCTTAGAAAGATCTGGATGTCATAGTTTTCCTTTGGAGAGAAGCAAGTTTTTGTGCATGGCTCTAACTTCCTTTTGCATTTAATATCCTCTGAAAGTGGAGTATGAATGACTTGGGAAGGTCTTCAGAAAGGGGGTCATGCAGGGTTAGGAAATATGATCGTGGGATGAAGCAGGTATCTTTCTTGACCCTCCCAGGAATTATGAGGCGGGGGAAAGACTTCCTGGCCCCTTGCTGCTCTTTTACATTCATTTCTATTAATCAGGATTTCTCTCATTACCAAGCCCAAATGGTGAGGGTGAAGGAATGAAGTTGTTTGTTCTGCTTTCCTACAAAACATGTCCTTGCCTTTGGCCTTGGAACAGTCATTGGCTTAATTGCTTAAGCACTGGGACATATTCCATATGTATTAGAAAACCAATGTTTAAAAGAAACTTGAGCATGGAAGATTAACTAGAGGCTTGTATTGCCAGACCTGAAAGGCCAAATGTGTGACAGAGACAGTAGAGCAAGAGAAGAGATGGACGTGTTTGCTACAATGCATGTTGTTGCTTGCCCATGTTAGGGAAAATGGTATTTGGTTCACCCTTGTTTGAGTTCCAGCACAACAAGTATCATTCACAGTTGTCCCTAACAATAATGGCCCCTGGTGCTTTTAGTGATGCTTTTCATACTTACAGTGCTTCACAGATCTTAACAGCTGCATTTTCTGATGCTCACCACAGGTTCACGTGGAGTAGGAGTTATCCTCATTTTACAGAGGGAAACTGACCCATAGTAGTCTTCTCCAAGATGATTAGTGAAATCCTTGACGTACTTGAAGTTTTTACTAAAACCTTGCTTCAACATAGCAATGGGAAAATTGCTAGATGTTTCTGCCTGAAACACATGCATTAAATTGCATTAAAAAACAAATTCCCCAGTCTTGCTGGAGTAGCATGAAGATCCCTGCTGGAAAGACCTTTCAACATGAACCAGCACTTACCTACCCAATCCACTCTTAACTACACAAACAAAACATTGCTAACCATTCACTTTATAAATTTAGCTATTTAAGTAGTGATATCTCCCTCTCCAACTGTGTAGGTACCACAAGAAACCAGTGCAAATCAGAGAACCTATGCTGAAGCCTGACTTTTCCAACCAAGTGGGAAGATATACGCAGGGGTTGTTCCAGTTTGTTTTTGTCCTTCCAGCTTTCATTGATGCATCATAATATCATGATGTTTCAAAGAGAAGCCGATTAATTGTTTTGTAGAAGTCATTAATTATCAGATAAAAGGAGATACTGTTCAGCAGATGTCACAAGTACTTTTATGCATCCTGAAAGTGTGGGAGATATTTCTCAGCACAGACCGTAAGCAAGATCTCTGCTCCGAGGAGCTTGCAGTAAAAGTGGACACTTATCCTATGCCCCCTAAAGTAAGCAGACTAACAAGACAAACATAACAGATTATGGATTTGTTTAGGATTGTTCAGGCAGTGTGTTTTTTTTGTTTTGTTTTTTTTTTTCAGGTAAGAAATGAAGAGGGTGGTATAGCACTGGTAAAATAGATCAAACAGCTACAGATAAGTTTGTAGGCAGATACTGTGCAGGTCATATAGAAATGGGAACACATTTGACTGTTGGATAGTCAAGGCTGCCATGAGTTCTCATAAGTAAGAGAAATGCAAAGGATGATAGCAGAAGTGTGGTGAATCCTGAAGAAGGCATCAGGGCAACAAGAGGCTTGAAAGTATGTCTGCCCCAGGAAAGTGTTTGCTACTGCTGTCATTTTTGGTAAGGGGACTGAGAAAAGCAGAAATCACTGGTCTCCTGTACAATCATAACAACCCAATCTTTTCCCAGTACTATGGTGAAGAAAATTGTCAAAGCCATTTCCCCAGGAACAGGGAAGGAAAAGATTTTACCCAGTGATGGAACTTTAAAGGTCTGTATGGGTAGCTTACAAGTTCTGTGTAGGACTTCATTATACCTGGTATATAGTAGATAGAATCTCACAAACTTGATAGTTTCTGCAAAAATGTTAGCGTCTTTGAAGGCAGCAAAGATTTAATTATGCAGTTCTATTGTGAGGTCTCATATCTTCCAATATTATTAATTTTACAGAAATGTTGGAATTCAGGAATGCCTTATATATTGTGCGAGTAAATTAGGGGCACAGTTTAGCTCGGTTGCTTGTCCACTTGAAGCAAATGTAGGTGCATGCCGAGTTTACATATAGCCATTAAAAATTGGTCCATAAACCTCTTCAGGACATACTGCAGGATGTGAACGATCTATGTGAATAGCTATGAATGATGTTATTTCAAAATTGTCCAAACAAGCTTCCTAGTTCAGTGTATTTGCCTGTCCTGTTGTCGGTCTCTGCTTGCTGATTTGCAAAGCTGGCTGGTTGGCAGGGGACCCCGTCATGGTTGGAGTGCATTAGCAAGGTTCTGCCCCAGTAAGAAAGCTGGTGAACTTCACAAGTCCAAAGGGGATGGGTAATGAAATTCTGGAGCTAGGACAGTTTAATTTTTTCCAGCACTTAATCAGAACCAGAGACCCTGAAGGATCTTTTACTCTGACATTAAAGACTCATTTGGACTTATTAACATCATTTTTTAATGTGTTTATGGTTCCAAAAATAACCAGGAGCAGATCAGCCGCTTATGGAGAGACGCGTTCCCAACTCTGCCGGAGGAACCATCCAAAGTTTGTAGTTATTGTTTCCAAACCTTTATGTGTTTAAGGAGCTCCAGTGTTTTCAATAATGACTAATTAATCCCAATTAATTTTAAAGGACTTAGACACTATGGGAAATTAGACACTGGTGCACATGTGCTCCAGGGGTGGGGGGAGGGCCCTTTAATTACAGCGGCTCCAAGAGCTGGCTACATGTGTGCATCCTCTTCCGTCCTGTCAGTTCCTGACATAGCAATTGGGTAACCCTGCTCATCTTTATTTTTTTCTAAAGAGGAAATGGTTTGATCAGCTTATTTTTACAGGCTCCCTGTAAGATAAGGAAGTAAAACTGGGAAAGGGAGGAGGAGTCAAGACATGGCGCTATTTCATGGTCAGGGTGGCTAGGGTCTGGAACCAACTTCCAAGGGACACGGTGCAGGCTCCTACCCTGGGGGTTTTTAAGAAGAGGTTAGATGAACACCTTGCTGGGGTCATTTGACCCCAGTACTCTTTCCTGCCATGTCAGGGGGTCGGACTAGATGATCTTCTCAGGTCCCTTCCGACCCTAGAAACTATGAAACTATAATTCTTCCAATTTACCTCTTTCAGACAAGTTTTAAAACCATTTCCTGGTTTAGACATGAGTTGGAGTCACTGTGAAGATAAGCCCCAGTACCCAGAACCAATGTCCTCCCCTTTCAGAAGTTTGCCTTTAATCCTAAGTAACTAAAAAGAGGTAA